ACCTAAGCATGGAGCTGGAATAGTTCTATTTCTCGGAGGTTTGATCGCGGTGTTTTAGCCGCGTTGAGTGCAGTTCATACAGAGTCCCGGTAGACCGCGGAAAAGTAGTACCCGCGGAAGCGGTGTTGCTTCTCTGCAGTGCACTAGTGCTCGGTAAGAAGCGCGCTCAACCGGGCTTAGCTTGCTGCTGTAACACTTAGGAAAAAATATGAATATCGCAGTTCACCTCGAAGCGAATATCGAATAGCGCATTATTCAAAACTACTATTCGAAAATTCTAATATTCGCACAACACTACTATTAAAAAAACGGCAAATGAAGGCGTTGCCAAAGCCAATATTCAAATTTATCCGGGCTTTCCAATGACGTGACATCACGCAACTAAAAACAGTCACGGATTTTCGTTTCGTGCTGCTGAGCGAGTGCTGTAGCAGACTTCCACGACACCTCACCATCAGAGTTCCTGTAATCCGCAGGGAACAAGTTCAGCTTTCCAAATAGTAGTGATTGAACCCATACCCACGTAAATGCAAACATTTCGGCGGAACTCCGCCTGGTTAGGTAAGTAATAAGAAAGGACACTTTGTAAACCCTAACCAATTTCTTCAATGTGCCCGACGTTGCCACCGGAATGCTTCCAAACAGCTATATACACGGACTACGACGTGCCAAGCACAAAAACAGAAGAGAACAATACTAAGAGAAAGAAGAAGGAGGCAACGACCGACTGCTACCTTTTGGGCCCACATAGTCACCCGTGAACCAGGAGCCGAGCCGGCTTTGAAACGTCGGGCACATTGAAGACATTGGTTAGTCTACAAAGTACCCTTTCCTATACCCCCATATGACGTCACCTTGTCAGTATTGACAGTAGACTTTCCGCATGAAAAAAAAATGGTAAGGATTAAATCTCGAAATTCCTCAACTTTGCAAGAAAAAATAAAAATATTGTGATTTATTTAATTTGCAACAAAACAAACGTTATTAGACTTTTTATAACGGCAGTAAAAAAAAAAATGATGTTTTAGTTCCGAAATAATATATTGGAGGCCCAAACTCATTCTAGTACACGTCAGTCAGTGTCAGTGTGCTGTAATCAGTTTGCCTCTGGAGTACCACAAGCAGGTATCTTGGGCCCTTTTCTCTTTATTGTACATGTAAATGACATTGTGCAATAAAGACCAAACAACTAAATTGATAATATATGTTGATGATACAACACTCCTGTATGCTGCGGACGATTCTGTGGAGCTCGTGTCAAAGTAAAGTTACTGTTAGGCAAGGTATCGGTATGGACAAAAAAGAACGCTTTAAAAACAAATACAAGCAAAACTAAAGGTGTACTTTTTCGATCTAAGCATAAAATTCTTCCACCAATAAACACCATTACTTTAAACTCGGTAAATCTCGAACTGATAATTTCAAAACACTTGGAGTAGTGTTTTCTCAGAATATGTCCTGGGATAACCATAATGAATATTTAAATAGAATATTGACAAAGAACTAAGGGAAGTATGTGTAGGCATCGGTATATACTTCCTACATCTGTTAAATATTTTTATACAAATGATTATTTTATTCCCATCTAAATTATTGTTCGTTGGCTTCGGGTACTAGCACTGCAATGATGAATCTTGAGAAAGTGCACCTGCTTCAAAAAAGAATGTTGCGAGTAATTGCAAACATACCTTATCTTTCGCACACGGAAAACCTGTTTAAAACTTGTAATATACTCAGTATTCACAATCTTTATAACTATAGGCTATCCACAAAACTTAGAACAGAATTTCTTTCTAACTTTGAGAACATGATAGCACTTCAAGACAGGGATGAGAAAAGGAACGAGACAACACAATGCAATATGTTGTCTCGTTCCTACTCTCATCCCTGTCTTGAAGCGCTATCATGTTCTCAGAGTGTCAGTACCAGCTCGCCCAAGAATCCCCATTACTCATTCTTTATAACACTTCGGCCCTGGTAGAATTGTCTGGCTTCCAACAACATAACATACCTAGTGTTGGCTAAACACTGGAAAAAAAAATGTTAGCATACCGAATTACAAAACTTCTAAATGCGTTCTGAAGGTGTGTCATGCATGGTTTTGCACATAAATTAATGGGTATTTTTTGTTTTAACATTTGCTTTGAGTTGATTTACAAATGTCGACTACACTCGGCGACAACTTTTCTTGGCAATACAGTGGAGGGTACAGGCACGCGTTTCTCTCCCATTTTGAGGGCTGAATAAAGTTGTGCGCGGGTTCTCTCTCCACTGCATCGCCAAGAAAAGTTGTCGCCGAGTATAATATGGTGCTCAGTGACTTTCTATTTTCTAGGTTTTTTTCGTTTTCACTGCGGTTATATATATATGATTTTGTTTCGATACTGATTTGCCGAAGCTGCTGCAAAATGTACTGGGGCCGAGAACTCGTCAAGCCACGTAGTGCGGCTTTTTTTTCTTGGCTCCACCATTACGTGTACTCGAAAATAAACTATAGTTATTATTACTATCACCAACTTTTTTGCAGGTGCTGTTTTTTTTTTTTTTTTTTACAGTTGTTTAGTTGCGAGTTTACAGTCGGCTCTTTGGTGCAGTTTTTGAAATTTCACTGCCCTACGAGCTGACGTGAGAAAAGTATAGAAGTAATTGTAATTCGATTTGTGCAATTACCAAAGCTAAAAGTAATTAAATAAAAATGACTCAAGTAATTCATTCGCTGCGGCGGCGCTGTTGTCGGCCCGGTGCATGTGCTCCCCTTCGCACAAATCTGGTTTTTGTGCAAGCACACTGCCCCCACCCGGTGCGGGCCAATGCAAGCTTGTTTGTAAACAGAGTAGATTCTGGAACTCGGATTAAATGTGTAGTTGCGTTTGATCATATGAAGGTTCTCCTCAGCTGTGCTTTATACTAACCTGTCGGAGGAAAAAAAAAAAGATCTACTGGTCGAGTGTGTCAATGCTATCGGCATACCCCAATTCCGAGTGCATGGAGAGAAAGCTCGCGTTGCAGAATTCAGGGATTCTGGATTCAATTCGTATCGTTGCCCATTTCAATCTGAATGAGCAACATAGTGGCTTGTTTTCGTGTATCACTCATGGCTAGAGATTCTACTGCACGGGCCAAATTCGCAGTCTATAGACACTTTGCAGCAGCTGTGCATGGACGCCGCCATAAGTGACCTTCAGTTTTTGTTCCCTTTTATTTCGTTTATTTCACTTCTTCATTACCATAGCAGGACAGGTTATTGCCACATTAGATTCAACTTTGTCCTTTTCTAATGCATCAGCCTTTGTAGAGGATTGTCAACTACCATTTCAGTTGCTCGGCATCTCGGTAAGACAAGAGAAGGTCAGCAATGGCTGCGGTAATTTGGCGCGTGTGTCAAGCATCTATAAAGGAGATAGCAAATGCCCTTTGGGAAAGACTAAGATCCTGCTATCGAAACTTCCATACAACAAATCACTTACTAATTATATTAAATTTTTTTTTTATCGAAGATGAGAAAACGTTTGTTGTAATTTGAAGTCATTTTGGTGTACACATAATACGAAAACTAAAAAAGGCTGGCAGTGCCACCTGAAGTTCACAAATATATTACTCTTCTGCTCTTGCATTCATCATTGTTTTCTTCTATGGAGATATTCCGATGGTGGTGGTTATATTTGACGAAACTACAGTTTTTTGCCTAAAAAGAATCTGAAGTATGGGAGAGTGTTGTTACACTGATGGGCCAATTCCAGCAAAACTGAAGGGATCACCCACCATTTTGGCAACATTTCCTTCCAACCTTCAGCAGAATAAGTGTTGCCATATACCACCAATTACGGCCGAAATTCCACAACACTCTGAAAACACTGACACCCATGCACCCCGTTTCAGATCTGAATCCCTCAGAAGACTGCGCAAGACGTTTTGCAGCATTCCTCGAAAGCACCATCAGACTGGAAGAAAACGTGCCCCGTGAAACGTGAGACGACTGCAACAATATGAACTTTGTCTACGGAGCGATCGATGGCCTTCTCCTCTGCTCGTTTTCTAATGTAAGAATGGAAGTGAGCACAGATCAACCTCAACTGACCTTGTGCACCTGTTGCTTCAACGTCTCGCACGTTAGTCTGTGCAAAACTGGCAAAACTACCCCGCTTGCCAAGTGATGCAGCCCCACCTACGAAGAGGCAGTGAAAGGGTGCGACGAGGCTTCACCTTCACCCCGCCGCTTCACTAGTAGTGCTGCTACCGGTTGGAGTTTGCCTCTTTCCTTTACCTCTGACCTCCTTTTCCTGGGAGCACCGAGAAAGACGTGTCTGCTGAAAAGTTGCAACTGAGTGTAGTACACTTTCCATGCTTTCAATAAAAAACTTCAAAATATCTAGTCACTGACAAGGTAAGGGCGGCAGGCTGTCTCTTTCAAACGCCCTGCCTCCAGCATGCGCTTGTTGCCTGTCGCCGTGCTTTGGCTGCGTGCACATGCTCAAAGCTCACGAGATGCCCAAGTGCCATCGGAGGTAGCAAATATGCGCTGGCGGCGAGACAACTGAAACTGCACTCTGCTGTCTTGGTCCTGTCAGTAACTAGCTTTTCTTTTCTTTTCGCATTCACATGCCACCATTCGTCCAGAGATCAAAAGAGGCGTGTGTAGAGGAGGCTTGATACACTAATTTTTGTGAGAATATCACTACGACAATTTAATGCTAGCGTGTCGACTGTTGTCAAAATTTTGTCACCTGAGTAATAAGCAACTTGTTATGAATAATCACTTGCTGAAAAAAAAGAAAAAGAAAAGAAAAGAAATATTAGGGAAAGGAATATGAGCTCAGTCAAACAAGTTGCATGCCCTGCTATGGCATTTTGGAATTGTGCCAGACGCCTACTGTTTGAAAAACCAAACAGGGTCATAATGGCCATGGTATTCTAAATGCAGAAAATATTCTACCGGTACTCTGGTTTTTCACTCAAAGGACCTCTCCAGCTTACACCAGACCAGGACAAATGTGCAAACAGCAGTTTAAACTTGTATATTTAATAATAATAATAATAATAATAATAAAACATCTTATCTACTTTGTAGCTACTCTAAGAACCAGGGCGAATGCATAGGTCAGAGTCACATACAAAGCTTGGGACACTTGAGGTTTACTTCCAGTGTGTTTGACTATAGAAAAAAAAAACACATCTTTCAACACTGCAGAATTGCCTTTACAAACAAGTACAATGCAATTTGGATAAGAGGTAAGAGTATCATTGTTATCACCACCCTGCTTCTCTGACAACATAATCAAGTACATGGAACATATGTGCATTTGCATCAACACTGGCACAAGGAATGCAATGCTCATAGTTCAAGAAAACAGTCTGGCAGACCACAACAGTCACTAGCAGTCACAGCCTCATTGGCAGAGTAGTCCACAGTTCACACCAAACCGTCGGAAAAAACTCCAAGCCGACATCGCAATAAAAAAAAATAAAAAAAAGAGTGGGTGGAGGGGAGTTTATTCTCCACACACAAAAAAAGTAAACTACCGCCCTCTCCTCTTCAATCTTGAACCGCATGACTAGTACTGAAAAGCCAACGTCCTAAACTGCAAACCAGGCATTCGGTAAGTCTTCTGGCGCGGCAGAGCCGCGAGCCCCGCGACCGTCGTCGTTTCCCCGAGTTTTTTTTACGACTCGGGGCTGCTGCAAGTTAAATCACAGTTGGTAATGCATGGACACAAAATCCTTGAACAGCTTCACAAAAAAAGAAAAAATACGAGGGACACAAAAAACCTGAAAGAGGAAAAAAAATCAAAGCTGTCGGGGCCTGACTGGGCACTGCCGTGCGGGAATGTATGAGAAGCGGCCGACGCACACGTTTCACACGACAGCAACGGCTAAGGTACGGTGCATGCCCCACCTAAGGTACAGACAGAGCTGGAAGCATATTTCTTTCTTTTTTTCTTCTCGGTGCGCATTTTTTTCGAAATTCAACGTTTCGCCGCGACAGTAAGGCATGTCGGTTGACTTTTGCGGGTCTCGTAGTTGGCTCGACAAAAGACGGGAAACGCGAAGGTGGGAAGAGAGCAACGAAACCTCAATCGAGCAGACAACTCTACCGTTTCGCGGCCAACCAAGCCAAACGTTCGGCATCCTCTTGCTCCTCATTTCAACACTTAACGAACAGACATGGATTGCACGCCGTCCGTCGCAGACCGGAGTAACAGCACGAATTACAAACAACCTACCCCGAGAAAACGGCGCAGCACACCGCTTTACTTCCCCGTGCACGCTCGTGCAGGAGGTGACGTCTCGGGAGGACACCCTTTGTTTGTCCTCAACGTCCTTTCTGTGTTTGGCACGCTTCGATGGGCAAGGGCTTAGAAAGAGGTGGCGGCTTCACGTTGTGGAAATGTTACAATCGCGCCACGAGTCTCGCGCGGCGGCGGCGGGTCGAGCGACGCGCTTTCGACGCAGAGAAAGGGCAGCTTTTTGGTACGCTACGGCGAGTAGAGCTCGAATTCGGCACGAGAACACACAGAAGCCCCGTTTGGGAACACCACCGGAAGGTCTTCGCTTCGACGGGTTCACCGTTAGATTTGACGCGACTTTGCCTAAGGCCCAGCGAGACTGCGCTACAAATGGCGTCGCCAAAAACCACATCACCAGCAACTTCTCTGACCCGTCAAAGTGGAGAGCCCACTGCTGGTGTCCCCAAGCGTAACACGTTTCTCTCCGCCGGCGAGAGAATGTCTTGCGGACGCGAATTCCGAGACGCGCAGTTAGACGGTCCGACGCATCACGAGAACAGTTTCCCGGTTCGACCCGGACGCCAGAGACTCAAGGGAGGACCCGACAAAGTGCGTGAAAAGGCGTGTGCGCTTAGAATTCGGGGGGGGGATGAAGAAGGGGGAAGAATGTGGAAAGTGCGTGGAATCGTGTGTGCTGCATCTGAAAAGGCCTTCGCCTCGGGAAGACTAGCCTTGGGGAAACGCCAGCAGAGACGCATCGCTCAGGCGCCAGTTTTGCTTTTGCAGGGCGCTCCCCCCCTTGCCCCCACACTCCAAAGAAAATTGAGCAACGTGTATTGACCAAGCCCTGCATCATCAACCTTTCCTCCCGAAGGTAATAAGCTAAAGAAGACAAAGACAACACGAGAGAAAACCCGATAGCCTCGTTTTCTGCACTGACGTGTCATACTTGGAGCTTGCTTGCGATTATGCATTACCAGAGGACGTTTTGTTCACGGCACGGGCCTTGGAAGTGCAAGACGAAAGTTTTCGTAGGTTCTAATTTACGGAACGGAACGGACGAGCCGTTGTACTGACTTTGCTGTAAACGGATGTTTAGCCTGAGAATGAAAGGGCCAAATGAAACTACAGCAGTGTTGGTTTCCTTTGTAAACAGAACACTTGAAGACAAACAAATAAAATTAAGCAGCATAAGCTTAACTTCGTTTTCACCACCGTGCGATGTACCGGTAGACCGTATGTAGTTTTGGGTAACATAGCAGTTCCGGTTAGAAACTGACAGACTAACTGAGGCGAAAATTCTCAAAGGTATCGGTACATCTGCGGCTCATTGCAAGAAAGGCCAATAGTACAACTTTTGACTTTAAAAACAAACATTTGGCACGGCTCACCAGCAAACAGAGAGGGCTTCGCAATTAGTTAGTTCTCCATTTTGTTTTTTCTGTTTGGCTAATAACACGCCCCGGACCTAAAGATGAAAAGGAAGCTACCCCGCCCTATTTACTCAGGCATATACAATGCCCGCGGCATAATTTCTATGAACTCCGGTCTAGTACGAGAAGCCAATACCATTACGAGAATGATAATGCCAAAAAAGATCACCATGTCGGGTCATCTTTAAAAATTTAAGAGCCATCGATAGCATTACCACTATCTCCTGCTGACCTTGGTTGTCTCACTCCAGACAGGATGCATCGAGAATTAGGCTTACGACGAGGCACGAATAATTTGATCTGTGCAAGCCGTGCCAAATGCATCCGTTGTCCCGTTGGGTCCTTCTCACTATGAAAGACGACAGTCTTAGGAGCCACGACCAGCGACAGATGCGACGTCCCCTAGGAGAACTGCAGCCTCAGATGACCAAAAGCAGCATAAAACGAATAAAGTAAGTTCGCCTACATAAGAAAAAACTTGAAAAAGAAACAAGACCACTATCGATAAAACGCGAATGAGGCACACTTACGCATTTGTTGGCTTTCTCTAGAGCACCTGAGAAGCATCTTTTCCTCAATTCCTTTGCCAGCCCCCTGCTCTCACCAGAACAACTTACGCACGCTTAGGGAGCGAAACCCGGCTTCAAGCTCCTGTCAAAGAGGCCGGCGTAGACGGGCTCGCGCCTGCGTGGTGCTAGACTAGGCGCACTTCTTTCCTCCACGGGAACAACGGGGAAAGTGGGAATCTACGAACAATGCAAACGGTCGCAGAAAACAGAACGGTTCTAGGCGGCTTCGAGAAGCTTCCAACGACAAACGAGAGCGGCGGGGAAACTTGGAAGACGCAAAAAAACAATGCCTCGCAAGCACTGCCGATGAAGGAACGGGGACGAGTTCTCTTGCGGAGCGTCAGGGCGTGTCGACGTGCGGTCGACGGGAACGTGTGTGGAAAGTGGCCCGCCCCGTCCGTTCGGGTGCGAGATTTTTGCCAACGGTTTGGGTAATAGTGTCGCTCGGAGTCGCACGCCTTCCAGTGGCTGTGGCTGTGGACTTTCAGTCGTCGCTGTCGCTGCCAGATTCACTTAGACGCAGGTCCTCACCTGCAATGTCCAGTCAACCTTTTCAGAATGTGCCCAGGAATTCAAAGGTGCACTAAAGTGGTTTTTGAGATCTTCGTTTTACGGCACAAACTCGCTCTACTCAACCCAAATGTCCCTGAAAACCCCAAATTACAGTCGTGCGTGGCCTTCTTCCTTTCTAAAAGTGCGATCAAACTTCGCAATGCACCCGTTTTCTTCCGAAATCTAAAAAAAAAAAGGGCGTCTCACAATGTTTTCGATTCTGTTTTCCCGGAGGGTTAAAGGCCACGCGTCACCACCGATTTGGGCTTCTAAGGATGCTTCGATTGAGCACCACGAAAAGACAATCTCAAAATCTACCTTAGTGCCCTTTAAGGCTTTATACAGCCACGAGTGGAATGCCACTTCATGAACGAACCCCATACCCTGTTTCGGGACAACATGGCAAACAGTGAAAGCTAAGGCTCCCGGAGCCAATTAGGAAAACGAAGTGAGGCACATGGCAGCCCTGCACAAGTGGAGTGTTCTCTGATGGTAGTGCCAATCTGACATGCTCCAACGCTCTGGTTGGTTCGCCGATGCCATAGTTTTTGTCGTTTGCCAAGTTAAGCTGTAACAGAATATAGCGAGAATAAATTTTGCACAAGCAAGTCATACTTCCTCACACTGACGTTACAAGAGTGTGGGACCATTTGTCGACTCATGCTTCGTTCACTTTACTGCTCAACCCACTTCTGAGAAATTTGGTAGTGAACACACCGCCATTTACCTTATAGTTAATTTGTATGTCTGGCGAGGTGTAAAATGTTTCTATCGTAAAGCGTTCAATTAGCAATATATACACTTGCAGAACTAAGAAGAGTTTCATTTACTTTTTGTATTACACCTATAAGCCAGCCTGCATTGGTGAAGACCAATAGGACTTCAACTAAGTTGCTGTTTAAAAGAGACCAGCCCTAGTGCAGAGAAAAATACTAAAAGATGCAGTTGACTGTGCCCCAACATTGGGCACCAGTTAAATTCAATCGTACCATAACCAAACAATGCCGACAGACATCAAAGACGCACGGTTCATGCAAAGCAAAAGGCCGTACTCACTCAATTGGCTAAACCTCGGCATACTTGAGAAGGAAGCATTGTTGGAGTGCTGTTGGCCATTTGTTCCGTTTACCGTCACTGCAATGTACGAAATTACAAATATTGCCATTATTTTGCCATTTGATGGGTATATCAGGCAGAAGTGGTAACCCCAAATGGCACTGAAACCATGCCTCCCATGGAGTCAGGAATCCAAAATCTCAAGCCAGTGCCAATGTATACAATTCTGTATATACATCGGCCTAGCGCCAATGTATTCGTGACTCCAACAGCGTGCATTTAATCGCAGCCCCTCCGATTCAGATTTCCACCACCGGGCAGTAGAAATTTTGCTGCACTTTTAAGTAGGCGGTAGCTCCCTGCTTCTCATTCAAATTTCTTTCTGCTGGGTGGAGCCGCCACCTCTGGAGTTGCGAACATCTACCCATAGGGAGCACCGTAACGCCAACTCGAACAGTTTCTTACGGCGAATGTCAACAAGGTTCCAACTTCACTCCCAAATGCAAAAAAAAAAAAAATAAAAGGAAAATGCATTTTTCCTTACTTATTGGACATTTCACCGTATCAGTACTCTTCATGATTCATATACGTGCTTCTGAAGCATTCCCATTAGTTATTAAGCTTGGTAACAGTGCAGAAGTCCAACTTCTAATTAAAAATGATCCGACCAGCGGCAATTGAGCAGACAACAGGTGAGCGGCACTGGGTCTCAACATGACCAAGGTCGCAGTAAAGGCGCGTGGAATTCCCGTTCACATGGCCAGCGCCAGCCAATCCTGCGCGCTCCCCTCTTGTCGTGCCCTCTTGTCGTCCCCTCTGTTGAGTCCCCGCCAAACTTGTTTCAAATTGCTATTGTTCATCCTATCTCGTGTAAAGATGCCTCTGAAAGCACATGGGCCTCTTCATCAACTGTTCGTTCGACATTCTGTTGGTCTGTTTGCATTCGCCCGTTACAGTGCGCCTGCGTTCTGGAGCCATTTCGCGAAGGCGGCAACCCCATTATCAATGCTGACCACCCCAAAATTTCGACGCTTAATCTGTCGGCAAAGTTTGTCCATCAAAGAGTGGCGCTATTCTTTCGGGAGCATACACGGTGCCACCATGTCGTAGGGCAGAAGTCTGTCGAGAGGCATAGAATTACTAGAATGCGTTGAGAGTGCCCCCTCCCCAACATTTTCCTTCTCGCGATGAATGTAATGCATAGCACGCCTCCCCCGGAATGACATCGTACAGAGAACTCATTACACTTAAGTTAAACGGCTCAGAAAATGGACAAAGAACCCTGAAAGTGGCACCAGTAAGCCAGACCTGGACAGTCCCTCAAACAGTGAAGCCGGTGGAACGGTGTTAATGTCACATTTAGCCTTTCCTTGTTGATTTTTTTTTTTTTTCGTTTTTGCATTGAACAGAATTTTTAATGTACAAACATTGATTTGATATGTACCGGAAAAATATATTGGGCCTGCCAGAAAAAACATTTAGTGTTTGCTTGCAGCACATAAATGAACAGTGAATCGCAGGATGTTTTGATTTTGATTAAAGGTAGACCTATCAGTAAAGGCAAGATGCACAAGTTCTAGCCCAATATGCTGCTTGAATCAAAAAAGTCGGCAGCAATTTTCAGAAGATCAAGAGTCACATAGAAGCACCTTTCAACGGTAGCAGACGTAGGCCAGCTAGCATTTGACATTGCAGTTCACTGTTGTCAATGGCACTAGCTTTCGAGCTCCACACAAGGGTGTCTCCACGTGATAACCAGCCACGCATTGTCACCCGAGTGAATGACATGTGCCATCTATAAGTTACGGTGTCAGATAGCTGGCACATGTCTGCTCTTGACGGAGGATGGTGACGTTTCATCTAAATGTAAACTGCTGACATTTAATTCGGGCAATGAATCTAGATGAACAGTGTGCAGAGAGCTTTCACAGCAAAGTCTACCACCTGGTAAAGTTTGACCACTCTGCGATGCGCACTTCATTAAGGCTGTGTGAAACATCAACAAATGCTCTCTTGGGCAGACCGATTCTGTCAGAATAAGCCTTTCATGATGATGTATGCCACCTAGTGGCCTTTGCACACATTATCTGAAGCTACCACAGTTTTAGTCTTCTGAAATTAGCTATCCTTGACAGTTAATTGACATGCTTTGGTAGAAAGTGATTGTAAACTTGAGACAGCGGTAGGAAAAGAAAAATGAAAAGGAAGACAGAAAAAGAACAGGCAAGGCTTCAAACTCAGCTGCAAAGTTTAATTCTTACTTGCCTTATACACCAAAGACGTCATTATGATCACCAGAAGCAACAAAACCCCATGACAAAAGGGCAATAGAACAAGAGGGTAAAGAAAAAAGCGCACAAACACACACACACACTTTTTAACAAAACCAGGGGTACGCCTTTTCCTATCTCCCCTAACCTTGGCTATGAAACATTTACACAAACGGTTGCAGTTTAGCACAACCACCCTCTGCAAACGCAAGGGGTTCACAATTGAACACAAAGAAACGACCTAGCCCTCCAAGAATGAAGAACAATATACTGAAATTGTGCCTCCTCAAACAAACCACACAGTCCAAAGATACATACGTAGACACCGCTAACACTTCGGAACGGCCTACTCAAAAAAAAAAAAGAAAAGGGAACTTTGTTGTTTACATTTGTTCTCAATCTCAAACTGCAACAATGCCTGATTCACACAGTTACTACTCGTTTCGTATCACTACGGACGGTTTAAAGGATTATAAAGTGGAGATGCCCCTTATGGCGCAGTCACACTGGAAGCGGATCCGCGTTCGCAAAGCGGTTGCAGATGCGGTTCGCGAGTGACCCCGTTCAGACATACCGAGAGGCGGTTGGCGAGGGGCGGTTGACGGTTTCTCGGCGATCAAGAGTGATCTTTTGTGACTTGTGTTTGGCAACCGTTTTACAATCCAAAATCTACTTTAATTCACGATTCCAAGCCAAAATTTGGCGATTTTGGCACTCTGAAGATTTTTCTTCGGATGTTTGCACGCATCACGAGTTCAGGCAGCAAAAAAAGAGACATGGACTGCAAAACCCGCCTGCAATTCCCTCGACTTCGCCCTCAAGCATAGCCCAGCTAGGCGCACTTTGCTGACTCGGAAGAGGATGCACCCGACCCTTTCTTCAAAGTGGACCCTTCCCACATGAATACCTGACCTTGTTTTTGAGATAGAGGGCCAGTTTTCCCCCTTCATTGTTAGCTCTTATTATTTTCGGAGTTGTGAGAGGCGCTGTGGACCGTTGTGCGGGAGAATGTGTTCGGTGCTAGCCGGTTGTGGCTTGGTTGGCGGCGTACTCTCCTCTCATCACTCGCACGTCGATCGAGTGTACCGTTTGTTTGACATTTAGCTCAAATAAATGCCATATGAATTACCTATGCATCGTCTGGTACAAACACTTTATTTCTTGAGTGGGCTGCCTTTGTTCCTTTTGGTAGTAGTCAATGTTACAGGTCGAGCTAGTGCAGGTACCCTGCCAGCTCCGCGGTAGTGCGTTGGCTAAGCAATTAGGCTCACAACGTCCCTATACACCTTTGTGGTGGTCATGCATGATGTGGAAAGCTTTCAATAGTTCACGTGACATTCTTAGGCGTTACAAAAGCTGACATTTTGGTGGATTAGGGGCGCATTCCGACGTTCTACGGGCAAAGACTAACAAGGCAGCAAGCGACGGGCTGTGGCACCCCGATTAGTAAACAAACTCTTGCACCATCCAAATCACCGGAGCGAATCCCGTTACAAGTATGAGTCGATTCTTTTCGCGGCAGATTCAAGTGACAGACGTGAACATCATGTTTCTTCGTTGATTTGTCTGCTGTAACGCTAGGACTACAACGCCTTGGACGCCTCACCTGCGAGATGCTATCTTGTTTCGAAAGCTACCGACATCACGTCAGCGTCGCGTTGCGATTGGTTGCCGTTTCGTGGTTTGTGAAAGTGGTTGGGGCAAATCAGTGAAGCGGTTGGCAGAAACGCGCTTCAACCGCTCAATCCGAGCCACTTTGCGGTTGAGAACGCGCGTTCGCGGATTCGCTTCCAGTGTGAATGCGCCATTAGAGTGGGTGTAAACAAAAATGGAACATGGCAAAAAGTTGTGAATAAGCTTCTAAAGCATTGGTTAGGTCTGGTCTGTCTTGAGAAGTTCTTATCGTTGAAAAATACAGAACTCCTTCTAATCTTGGAAAGCAACCATGAGAGAAAGAGTTCTGTGTTCTCCATGGATATAAAGGATTTATATTATTCTCTAGAAGAGAAAAGGTTGATGAGCACAGTGAAGGAGGTGTTAGAGATGAATTTGGTTTCAATCAAAAGAGAGCGTGTCAGTAGAAGGCTTCCTTTCCATGTTGGGTCTCCATTTACGATCAACAGTCCTCGAATACAATAATCCAAAAGATATCCAGACAGAAACTGCCTGGATAGGCTTGTCGGTCGCACCGTCGTCAGCTGAGATATACCTGAACAGTTTAGATAGAGTGTTGTTTACAAGATAATTGAGTTGACACCAGATGGAGGCTTCATCAGAAGATATGTTGATGATATTTCTGTCTGCACGTTTGAAGATGGGAAGTTGAGAAGCTGATAAGGTAAATAGCCCCGACTTGCAGTTCACAGTAGAGAAGCCAGAGGAGAACATGTTGCAGTTTTTGGACTTGTGCATTCAGGTGAAAAATGGTTTATGTGGGGAATATGGTAAGAAAATGGATAAATCAGTGCTTCCTAAACAAAGTTGTCACTCTAAGATTGTTAAAGCAGGAGATGCAAAATCATTAATTGGTAATGTATTAAAAAAGTCTTGTACCCATTTCATAAGTTCAAAAAAGGCAATGGGGAAGATTGGAGGGCACGGGATATGATCAAACTTTCTCGAAATGACAACTTTCTATTCAACTAAGAACTAAGGGGGATGAACCCAGTGTGAGGAGCCAACGAGCTGCTATTCTATATTTTCACAATATTTCTCATAACATAAAAGCATTTGCAGTTTGGCATGACACAGTGTTCACGTCCAATTTCAGGTGATGCAGACTTGAGTCTTTTGAATCGGGAGGGAAAGAATGCCTAAAAGGACATTGTGAAAGGTAGATTCCGTGCAAAAAATCGGTGGTTTACGATATCTGAGGTTTACGAGTTAGCCAGGCACCTTCAGGATTGCTATGCATGTAAAGCGGACTGGACCGAAACAGAAGTAATTTACAAAGAAAGTAATAATATGAAATGTGTAGTTCAAGAAACAATTCGTATGAAGACGTCCGGTAACTATATAACGCAGGCGTCGTTGCAGTTTGGGAACTAGTGCAAACAATTTCTGCGCCTGTTTCTTTTCTTTTTTTTAAGGAATGCTGCAGGTTGTTACAAGGTCGCAGATCCGAGTAGGCAGTTTCGAAGTGTTAGCAGTGTCTACGTATGTATCTCTGGAGTGTGTGGTTTGTTTGAGAAAGTACAATTTTAGTATTTTTTTTTGGTTCGTTCTCGGAGGGCAAAGTCGTTTGTGAACCCCTTGCGTTTGCAGAGAGTGGTTGTGCTAAACTGCGACCGTTTGTGTAAATGTTTCATAGCCGAGGTTAGGAGAGACAAGAGAAGGTGTACCCCCGGTTTTGTTAAAAATTGCGTGTGTGTTTGTGCTTTTTTCTTTTACACTTTTGTGCCCTCTTGTCGTGGGATTTTGCTGCTTCTGGTGATTATAGTGACGGCTTCGGAGACGTGCTATATAAAGTGTGTACAAAATAAACTTTGTAGCAGTGCTTGAGATGTTGCCTGTTCTTTTTCTGTCTTCCTTTGCCTTTCGTTTTCCTACCCCAGTCTCAGGTTTACCATCATGTTCAACTTACACCAGCTCACCTGCACTCTGACTGTTTTATGGTTTGGTACATTCTTCTAAGACACACGATTTTGTATTTCAAGTCCGGAGTAAGAAGGGTCTCTATAGTTTGTTTAATTTCATGTACGAGCGAAGCCAAAGCTGAAAGCACGAGCATGTTACTCCATATGATGCTAACACTGCACAAACGTGCATGCTTGGCAGGGACGCCGAAAACCCAGAGCTTGCTCTTGCAGCTTCTGCTGCGCTTGCGCATAGGATGAAACAGAGCAAAGGCCAGCAATCCTATCTGCATAAAGTTAGGTGAGAATGAACATGCCAACAGGTGGCATTTCTCAGATCACTAGTCTGGACAAGTGAGGGCAGTGATCACGGTACATACAGTGCTGACCCCTGGAAGAGTGGGGAGGCCGAGAGGAAGAGGAGGTCGTCTGGGGCGGTACGTCCTCGTGCTCGGAGTCGCTCGAGTCAGAGCTCACCGAGCTTTTGCTAGTTGAGTTGCTCGACTCACTCGAGTCGGAGAGCACGCCCACGTCGGGGACCTCCTGAGAATCTGGAGGAGAAAAAGACGTCACGCGTAATGTCGGAGCTCGTGTAATAACACATTGTATCTAGCCTCACGTGACGTTACGTGTAGAAATCTAGACCGTCAACTGTGTCACAAAAGCGAGCCATCACCATTTAAACTTTTTTTAAGAGCTTTCTAGGTAGCCCCAATGGACGTCCTTTTGCCAGGAAAGTTGTCATCCTCTGACAATTGCGGTGTCACTGTCATAGTACCTTTACAGGGCAACGTGGCTTACAAATCATGAAAAATGCTTCCAAACTACTTGTGAGAACATCTAAGTGAAGTCCAGAATGCCTGTTCAAGATTGCATTAATAATTAAAAAAGCGATGCAAAACAACTTCAATATCAAAGACACGCGAAGCATCCTTAACTCAACAAAGAAATGACAATTGGCTTCTTTAAAAAAAATCAACTTGAATTCTGTTTTTATTGTGGCCCTCTGATGTCTCCACTCCAGAAGCTCGAATAGATATCTGACCTAGCATACATTATTTTGTGACAAGATGTCGAGGAGTTTAGTTAGCTGTATGGGGCATTGGGTTCACCCCAAATATTGCACAGAAACTACACAGCAGCAAAAACATAGCTCTCAAGTTGCACACAAAGGTGAGTTACTACAGACAAGCTTTTAAATGTTTGGTGTCTTTAATGGACTCTCGTAGGGGCACATCCACTCACTGCAGTTTGCCACAACCGAAGCAAGAAATTGGCTGTTTGGGGCACTGCCTAAACAGGTGTATGCTCCCAGTGTGTATACGTGACAGACACTGAATCTCTTTTTTAAAGATACATGCTCCAGAGGATACACCAATCACCTTACACAGGCAGTTGGGTGAACAATGCACAATGGCCAGACCAATCTACTACCGGCTTTGCCATGCCAATCCACAAAACCTGCAGGTATGCAAGCTTAGCCCAAAATCGTAGTGGCGAGTTGGGAAGAGCGGGCAGACCTCCGTCCACAAAGCTCTCCACTCGCCGCAATTGGCGGTTGCCCGTTCTCCAACTCGCCTTCTCTCCAGCGTTCCCTCTGCTAAAGTGGAATAACTGAAGGACGCTGTGGGAGGAGCATGTCGCAGTTTCTTAACCTACGAGAGACTACGCGCCGGCAGAAAGATAAAGGTGCGAACAGGGTCGTGCTTGCAAAAATCTCTACTTAAATCACCAAAAAAGATGCGCTTAAAAACAAAGCTTAAAAGCTTCTTGAAAAAATAAATAAATAAATAAAACGAGTTAGAGTATTTTTTACCTCGTGAATCTGAATATCACGCTCGTTTTCCTTGAAGATGTAACAAAACTCTAGAAAACACGAAAAACCTCCGACCAGTTGTTACGTCATAAAAAGATCTTTCGGTCGCCAAGCGCGTGTTGCTTGTGTCTGCAGTGCGTGCAATTGCAAGCTTGCCAGGTATATTCCCCGCACCGACCCCAGTCGTGACATTTTTTTTCTCCCCTCTTTGAAAGTAGCGAGAATGCGGCTGCATAGCTTTAATGGGCGCTGAAGATGCGCAAGACCGGAGATTCCGAAAACTCTGGATATGACGTCACACTCTGGGAAGGAGGGGCTTCAGCGGTACTTTGAAAACTATTTTCTGCAACCTTCAAGCACCAAATTAAAAAAAATAATATTGATATTCGTGATTCTTGAGGCCAAACGAAGACGATTTAAGTGTTTTTACCCAAATACAAAACCGCTTCAGTTTCCCCTTAAGCTTTTTAACTGTTAGCCGGATTTGCAGGATATTTAGAAGGCACATTCAACTTGGTGAAAGAGGCTACCTTGCAAAGTTTCAAGCTTATAAATTAATCCTTCGAAGGGGTACAAAAAAAGTACATCAAATAAACATCACACCCCCCGAAGAAAACTGCTGTTTAGAAACGGTAACGATAATGGGCAGTCCTTTTGGTGAAACATGCTACAGTATTAAGTGGCTCTATAGTTACCGACAAAATGAAAACCTTTGGTTGTCCCGCCTCGAGCGTGCGAGTGGTGCGAGTGGAGTTGAAGCATGGTGGAAGGCAATGAGCGCATGCCAGAAACTGGGCATTCGAAAGGGATGACTGGCCCTTCTCATTCTGTCAGTGGCTCGAGTCTATTCCACTTTCTCGTGCGGTCACTGCCATTTTGAATCGGGGAACAACGCCGTTTTGCCCGCACCAGGCAACTGGAAGGCGTCCACGTTTTTATGGTGACTGTCAATCCTTCTTGTTTTGACTCTCATATTTTTTTTACTCTTTCTAGGTTGCACGGTTTCACTTCTTGATTCGTCCCCCCATACCGGACATGTGAAATGTGAACTAGGTGGCCCAGGACGAGGATAAAGAGAGAGAGACCGTTCACGCCGAGGGTCTCGGTGGTGAGGAGGGGCATGCTGTCCCTGCTGGCCGAGGGTGCCCGGGAGCCCTCCCGGGGGGTCACCAGGGTGGGCATGGAGGGGCTGCTCTGGCTAGGGCTGCGCTGCTGCCCGCTGGGCGAGATGCGGGGCATGCCCCCCCGCTGCTGGCCCGGGGAGCTCGTCACCCAGGACAGCTTGGGCTGGCCGTTGCTCTGCGGCGGAGACAGCTTCTGGCTCGGCGAGTGCTTGCGCGAGCCCCCGCTGCCGCTGTCGATCGGGGTGATGGGGCGGGGCTGGCACTTGCTGCTGCCCTCCGCCCTGCGTCCACGAGAGACCCCGTTAGGCCACCGTCGTTACAAAAGTGAGGTCGCGAGGAACGGCGCACGGCCACTCGGTGAGGAGTGCACCTCGTCGAGTGGCCGCAAACAGTGTTTTTGCCGCAGTGGACGACGGGACACGTGGCAAAGCACTGACTACCGTAAATTCCCGAGAGATGCCCCACCCCTATTTTTGGCACGATTTTCTATTTCTTTAAAAACACCGAAAGGTAGCCCTTTTATGGTAATTGCAGGGCCCTAGCCAATGATGACCCCGGCAGAAATGGTGTTACTTAGCGGTGGGAAATAAGCAGACATTGCTGATTGGGAAGGACAGTTGTCTTTAGTTCATCACCCCTCCCTCCGATGACAAGTTTCACAGGTCACAACATCTAAAACCAGCATTTTTTCCAACTTTTTTTTTGGTCGCACACCAAAAGTTAGCCTACTTCTTATTTTCACTCGATTTACTTTCAATTTTAGGTGGCCTATCTCTCAGCATATTATGGTACGTAGCAAACACCACCGAGTAGACACCTCAGGGGTGTGTTACGCACGTCCTATTCAGAAAGATTGTGCCACGCCATGTTTGAACCAAATGTGGACAGCAGTGCAGAAGATGAGCGTGAGCCAGCTCCCATTCGTGCTAGCATTGCGCTCATTGTAAGAAGTTGCCAGATGTGCTCGTGGCGACGCGGACGTTGGCTGGGCAGTGCTGCGTGAATCTACTATTTTTGCAAACAGGTTGAGAATGGCAGGGAGGACGTTGTCCTGCCTCCTGCTTCCTAACTTCAACAGCTCTTTGGCAGCTCGTGAGCTTTGAGAGTGCGCGCACAGCCAAGGCACAATGCTTGACAACGAACGCGTGGTAGAGGCCTGGTATTCCAAAGAGGCCCTGCCGTTCTCGTCTTGTCAGTTACCATGGGGATGACAATAAAGGGGGAGTGTCACAGGCTTTGTCTTCTAGGCGGTACTGCATGAGCCCACTTCCCTGAGGGTACGTCCATACATCGTACATAATCTAAGCGCACGCACGCAGTGGGAGTGTCTAGTGCCGGAACTACGAGCTCTTTCCTGCAGTCCACGTCAAAGCAATCTGGAACTGACATTCAAGGTTCGACGAAAGCCACTGCAAAAGTACTCGTGAGAATGCGCGGCATCGGAATTAAACATATCGGCTAAATGCGTGGACTTTCAATGAACTGCTATACTTTCGAGAGAGAAAATTTCGGAAGCTTGGTGAAACTAGCACCTTGGAGCTCCCACAATATCGCTGCTCCCAAAACAGTTATGCCTGGCTTCACTTTCCCACTGAGTGGAATAACAGCAAAACTGCTAATCGGATGTTCTTATTTGTGGTCTTATTAACATGCTAATTTTCAGTTCAGTTACTCTGCAGAACTTCTTTTAAAGTTTGCTTATTAGCACGTCAGTCAGTCTTATGGCACCAAAGCTTACTATTGGCTAGTTCAATCCATCCCATTTCTCAAAATAATGTTCTTTTTTCGTTTATACTGGGTTCGCCATGGACTGGAGATGCAGGAAAAGCTCCACAGTGAAACAGTGAAAAAATTACATAGATGCACCCTGGTATATAGGCCTTTCCAAAATAGGGCTTTTGACCGGCACCTTTTCCAGCGTTTGTGCGTATGGCACTTGATTTGCTTGCTATGCAAAGTGACGAACATGCACATGCTTGCTGGGCTCTCAAGATCACATGCTGGGCTATGGTTATGTAAACACTAGAATTGTGTATAGACTCCTACTGCATGGGCACAAATCCAATATGAGCAGCACACACAAAGTAAAAAAAAAGGTAAAAATACACTTAAAAATTTGTTTTCCAAAAAGGTCCTAAATAAACTAATTTATTCTCTCTCTCTCTCTCTCTCTCAAAAAAAAAAAAAAAGAAAAGAATACTTTTATATGTTTGAGATGGCTGGAAAGAGAAAGAGAAAGAGAGCAGGTTTAATGCTGTACTAGAATCTTTAGAGACAAAAGTTCAATTAAGGCAAGTTATTTAGATCCCAATTGCTCTAGACATGGATAAAAAATATTGGAACTAAATTGCCTTCATATGTTTGTGCAAGAACCTCGCCAAACAAGTCTCTGGTAAGCCGCACAAGCCTAGCAATATTTGCTAGCTGGTTCGACATCAAGAGGAAATGTTTCACGTCTGCCTCTTTCTTTTCTTCCCGGGAAGTGACAAATGGGTGGGTGGGGCGACAAATATGACATTGAAGACTTGACACAGCCGTAAGTGGACAGACCGTGTCGCACAATGGCAGACAAGGCTGTCACACCTACATGGCTCTCGGAGGTCGCGCTGTCGTTCACAAAAGAGTAAAAAAAAAGGTTTGAGAGATTAAAAAAAAAAAAAACAGAAAAAAAGGGCCTTGAGGAAAAAGAAAGGAAAACATTTCTTAAAGGGCAACTCTGCTCAATTCCGAAAATTTCGGAGTAATGAGTGATGTCACATTAAAAAGCACTACTAAAAGGCACTATGTCATTTGCTTCGTGAAAAATGAGATATATATTGTTAAATGTTACATTAAACATGAGCAGAAATCAAAACCAAAACTTCGGCTCCGTCTGGCAGCATTGGCCTCGGGCCGCCAAAATCGTGGCTATCACGTGGTATGAGATGTCACGTTATCCTCTACGCAACGGCGGGCGGGATTGGGGAGGGCCGGCGGGCCACCGTTGGGGTGGGCAAGCGCTAGGCACAAGTGTCGTCTGCACTGCACTCTTCACTACGTTTTGGTGTCTACGACATCCGACGACGTCTGCACAACTGTGGCATCAGTCTGCACACATGGTGCGACAAAACTCCGAGAGACAATAATCACAAACGGTGAGACCATGGCAGCGGTTGTGACGCGAAAGACAGCGGGATAGCCGGACGGCTCCCAAGAAGCGCACTGCGCAGGTGCATTACGCACAATACGTGGACACCACTGAGTGCCGAGAGGAAACGTTGCTGGCGTCACTCGTTACGCTTGCCCGTAGAAGTAAAAACAAACAAAAAGGGGCAATGGTGATGTCGTTTAGCTCAATGCTGGCTACGCCCACGCCGTAACCTTGACTGCGTTGTTCCTTGCACCTGAATTTGCCCGCTAGAGTCGGCCGATTTTGGGAACTTGGCCAGTTGCCAAGTTTGCTGGACCGTTTAAGAAACATAGTAGACCGTAATATTTGACATGCGGTCTTCCAAGGTGACACTGAAGAGGACTGCATTGTTTTTCAAAAACAAAAATGAAGCGGAGTTGCCCTTCAAACATGATTTTAATGCGTCAAACCCTTTGCAGCTAAGCTGCTCATTGGTTCCTTTGTGGCTCTTCAAATTCTGAATGTGTTTCCTGCAGGAACAAGCTGTATGACATGCTGGCCTTCCGAGAACACTGAGAACACTAGAAAAGCGATATGGTGACATTTCTTTTTCAAAGAGACTGCGTAACGTAAGCCAACTTAGAGGGGGGGTGCAACGATTTTAAGATTAAAAGAATTTGCATCTCGTCATTTTTACGTTGTTTATTATGTCCCGGAGGACACAGAAAACATCTCCTTCATTAAAAAATGTTGCCATTCCGCTGCATAATTGCAAAGCAAAAGTCAAGCTTTTTTCCCCCACCTGCAACAGGTGCTGCAGTTGAGATTTTTCCCACCTGCGAGCGGCAGCCGAAGGAACTACAGCAAAAAGCTTATGTGACCTCGCTCGGCGCTAAGCTGCAGCACAACGCCCGCTAATGTCAGCAGAGAGAGGGAGAGGAAGCGTCTTCCGAGAGAGCACACGGGAACCTACATGGCACTCCGAATTACGTCACTAGGAGGGGGACCAAGTGTGACCCTGAAGACTGGGAGTGAGTTGAGGGGTGCCAGAAATGCCAATACTTATCTTTCTTTTACACAACAACTAGGACACGCAGGCGAAATCGGCTTTCTGTTCTTTACTTTAGAAGTGTCAGAGGGCAACTTCCACAAGTGTTTGACCGAAGTCCCGAAATCCTTGCACCCACCCTTTAAAGGGACACTGCCCTTTAAGGTTTTTATTTGTACATGACATATGAGAGCTCAACTACCCAGAACACAATTTTCAGCTCAAAATTAATTTTCTTTCCACCCAAAAACCGCCGATCGAGAGCTGGCCGGTTTGAATCGCGCTCATTCTCTTCTTCGTTGTTGCGTGCCATTTTCTATGGCTCAGACACAACCACGAAAGATAATCAAAGTCGTGGGTCATCGGAGGCACAGACTCAATACTAGAAATGGATAAAAAATATGATACCCATTTTTTGTGGCTTCTAAAAAGCTGCAAATACGTCGATTGAAAATAAAAAAAAATAGTTGCACAGTCACATGACTTCTGGTATCTTTCTCCCCCTCTATATTTCTTCTTCCTCCCCAGTCCAGTTTCGGTTTCAAGCAGTTGCATTGTTTTACTTTAGTAAAAATATATGTGAGACTGTAGCAAAATATTGATTGGGTAGTCTTCCGACACCATAATAAATCACCTGGCAAAAAATTAAAACAAAATATTTTGGGAAGTGTCAATGTCCTTTTAATGCTCCTGTATCACAGACAAGGGGTCACCTCCCATCAAACAAACTTAGCACGAATAATTACACGTCATTGTTGGACAACTAAAAAGCCAAGTTTTAAATTGACACGGTAGGTTTTGTGGGGATTCCTGTGGTCTCCCTTCCCTGATGGCTGTAATAACAGCTGCGAATTGGAACGCTCGGCCTCCTTTGTCATGAGCTCGAACCTGACTGTGAAGTGCAAGGTCCCATGCAAGGTCTTGGAGGGCCCACCCCTTACTCTTTCCCGTGGGGAACTTTTTCCATTTTCCACTCGGATGCGGATTATTGCTGACAGGTGACGAGGTTTCGCCTCTTCTTTTCCTGCTTTCGGGAAAGGGACTTGTCCGGTGACCGCGAAAGAGATAGGACGTGTATCGGCGACTTCTTCGATGCTTCCCCGATCTTGGCTTTCCGGAACCCTCCGTCTGGCAAGTAAGAACCTTTTTTTACCTAGCCTGCATGGGGGGGGGGCATTTTGGATGGGGACATAGTAGTTTGTATAGGAAAGTGTTTTAATAAAGGCTCTTGGACTCTGTCCTTGCTCTGGTAAGTGTGTCTTCTTTCTCCGCTATATTCGAGAGAGTGAGTCAAGGTAGCGATCAATGGCACCGACAAAGTTATTTATCGAACCGACCCGCGGTAATGCAGCCCTAAACGTCATCTACGTTCCGCGGAGATGGGGAGACCACACTACTAGGTTTGACGTCTCCTCTGAGATTGCCACCACTGTTGAGACAACACTTTGGTTCCTCTACCGGTACCTCTGTTAGTAGCTACAAATACCAAAGTTTCCATGATATACCTTCGCAGTCTCCCACATCTTCGACAAAACAAGCCATAGCTCTGCATCAAAACAACTGAGCTGCACTCCGTTTTGAACCATATGGCACAGAAGATCAAAACGTCACCTCGTCTTCTTGAGCTGTATGTTGCAGCTGAGCCTTTCAAGGGTGATCTCGCCAGTGACGTTGTCCACCACAAGGACGCACTCCCTCTGGTATGGCCGCTGCGAACCCTTGAACACCGTGTGCGCAGTGCCAGAACCCTGTGCAAGAGGATTCTGCGCAACGACCCAATGCACGATTAGTAGACATTTCTTTACCACGTAGACGCATGCGCAGGAGGACAGCTCGCATATCTCAAGAGCCAGACAAAATTTGTTGAAGTCAACAAAAGAGAAAAGCAGTTGTTATGTTTTCAATGTTTCGCTTCCCTGTCCTTACTGGAATGTTTACAGCATTCAAGCATAATGCCCATGTCAATTGAAAGCAGAATGTTATTTGAGACTCCCAACATGTGGGTAGATACTAAATTAAAAAAAAAGAACTACATATTGCAGGCAACTTAAAAAACGGTGCCCAAGTCCGAAACATGAGTCGACTGGAATTCTGCAACTGATAATATGGAAAATTTTGCTTGCTATGTAAGGCAGACAAGAGGGTGGTAATATTCAATACAATTCTTTTTTAATATTCCACGCTCATTACTCAAAACTAGTATCATACAACTGTCAATGTTTTTTGTCCTCGACATTGCCGTAGAAACATTGGACTTATCAGACTGTCCCATCTCGATCTGATGAGCCAAGCATATTTAATTCAATGTGTGCCTTATTCACGGCACAATTTAAAGAAGACAATGGTACTTGTACACAACGACACATTCCCCTGGCTTGCAGCGACGGAAAGATTCCAGCAGAGCTTGAAACGTCAACGATGGAAAGTTTCCATGGAGCTTAAAACCTTGAGCTTGAAAACCTCAACGAGTTCAGAATGACACCTTGAAAGGCAACTGAAAACACAAAAATGCAAAGGTGCAGTCCGTTATCTAGGTTATCTGGACTCTGACTGGTACGACGCTGAAACACTGTTCTGTTGCTGATGATGCAGCTGGACTGTGTATGCAGAAAGCCTATCCAAATCGGCAAGCCAAGGAAGTGGTCGTAATCGACCTCGACACGTTCCTTAACCCTTCGACCCTTCAAGACGAGTTTGACTCGTCCAGTAATTTATACCCTGCTAGCAATTTTGAGAAAGTTATGAGGACAAGGCTCCGAGACCAACATATTTTGTTTCACCTTAAAGTGCAAAGCAGTGTCAAGGCTACGGTGTGGAGGCTTTGAGTAGGAATGCGGCTCTGCTGGAAGGGTTAGGGAACACGCTAGAGCGACACATGTATGCCTGTAGCCTTGGTTCTGTTACATCAAGTCACAGCAAAATGTAATGTGCTTCTGCCACTCAAGAACACGTACAGAGGAGTCCTCTTCCCAAGATGTTTGATCGAGCTCAATGCTATCTCCGATATGTTGAGCAGAAGAGAACTCCAGAAAGCCTCAATGTGGCAGGTGACATTTAGCTAGGAGAGATATTATTGGTCACAGAATTCCATAGCATATATTCCCATACAGTGCATGGAGCTATACAAAGAGAACATGAAATATATAGGATATTTATGAGATGAATCATAATTTGATAGCCTGAAAAAGTTAAGTTTCTGAGAAATATGCCGGCAGCTGCACTGAAGCTGGCAGGAGCTTTCTTTTCGCATTTTTCTTACCATCCATAACTACACTCGCATTATCTTTGAATGAAAGAGAGACAAGGTTTGTTCCCAAGTAAAAATAGCAATGCCCCCCCCCCCCCACAAAAAAAAAAAGACATAACAATGCTTTGGTTACAAAAGTGCTACGGCGACAGCACTATACCAAAAGAGAAATACACCTGGTAGGCCCAAACGGTCCCCGTCACAATGCGAGTCGTATAGAGCGCTGCTATTATGCAAGGCATTCGGCCCCGACTGCACTGGTCAGACGAGAACCATTGCAGGGAGGAGAAAGATTGCCGCACTACTGAAGCAACAGCAGGAAGTAGCAGATTTTTATGGCCACTTGTTAAGGGAGTGAGGCTTTATGGGGGTCAAAGCACGTTGACACACTGCTACTCGAGAAAGAGGGAGAGAAGGGGTCTTTCTGGAGGAGCTGGAAAATGGGCCGAGGCTCACCTCGATATGAGGAACTGTCACAGTGATTTGGTTCTTTTCCCCAACTTCAACGTTGGCGGACTTGGAGGTATCTACAGAAGCCGGCTTGAAATCGTCTGCAAAAAGCAAGGCGAGAAACGGTCACTCTGCAATCAAGGCAAATGAGATAGGGTGTTTACAATGATGGAATTTCGTCCATTGTTTTGTTATGAGCCGCCTAGCGTATGCCGAAGGCAAATATTCCATGGATTCACATGACACCCTATTACGCATAGTGCATGAAAGCTTGCAAATCTCATCACATTGACATCTAACAATAAAAAGGTGGATGAAGGTCATGTGAAAATGCCCTATAGTGGCACTGTTCAGGATGTGCCACCAATTGCGTCGACAGTCAAAAGGTATTTCGCTGTCCCTCTTTAAAATACAGTAGGACAAGGGTTTCAGGTGCCATATAAAGCCACATGTTTATTTAGAAATAATGAGTGTAAGTGTCATGCAAGGCCTCATCTCCAACAAACGAACAACAAATATGCTGCATGTCCAGTGTTTGAGAATTTTCACATTTATTTCGGGATGACGACGGACAAGTAAGGGATTGTTCTGTATTTCTTAATGAAGAGAATGAAAGAAAAAATATAGGTTTTATCGTATATACAATAAAATCTTGTATCAGACACATTTACCGAGCACTGACATTATTAGATTTCTTATGATCGTGAGTTTTCAGATGATTTCCTATGTCAGGCAGTGTCAACTTTTGAACCGCCAGATGATTTCCTATGTCAGGCAATGCCAACTTTTGAACCGCTCGCTCAATCGGCTTGATATCTGCAGGTGGTGTTAATAGCCATATAAAAGGGGGGCATGCAAAGTTTCAGCCCTGTAAATTAATTTTATGAGGTACTATATCCCCACAATGAAGTAAAGCTCAATGAATCTATCGTTGAGAAATGGTGTTGATAACCACATATTTTTCTGGTGGAATGCATACTGGAATGCCTGTTGCCAGTTACCATGAAAATAAATTTAAGAAGATACACATTCTCCAGTAAAAATAAATCATTAAATTTTTGTTTTTCACATTTATTAAGTTTTGCAAATTCATTTTTTCTTTTATAGTAAAGCAACATGAAAATTCGAAATCTAAGTTCATTGTAACCAGCTCCATAAAGTTTCAATATATAAGCTGCAAAAATTAAGCCTCTCGATAGTTTCGTACTAAAACGATAGATTTTTAAGTGAAATTTAGGACAAAAAGAGGAACAGAGAAAAACGCGTTCAAAGTGCTCGAACCTCTGCCTTTTCTTTAGCATCGGTGGACCGAAAATAATTTACAAAAAATAACTATGCAGTGTAAACAATTGAAACTTTCTGGGAATACTCTCTAGATGTTAGCAGATGTAAATATGACACTTTTAAAAATCAACTTTTTTTGCAGAAATTTTTTCTGGGTAGTGTCCCTAAAAGGCCACTAAAAAGAAACAAAAAAAAAAGTTTTTTTAACAAATTAATTGGGACACGCGTGTCAAAAAAATTTTTAGTTGGTAGTCACTTTTTTTTTTTTTCTACTTGTTTTCTCCGTCGGCATTTCGGGCGCGTGGAGGAGAGGTGGATCGGCTTGGCCATCACGTTGAGGTGGAGGGAGTGTATGACCATCACATTGAGGTGGAAGGAGTGTATGACCAATCCGTGACGTCATAAACTTTGCCGCGCAGAATTTAAAATAATCTTGCGTCGTCAACATTGCTCTAAAAAATTTTGTTTTCGCCTAAAATTATCTTTTTTTTTTTTTGACACGCGTGTCCCAATTAGACTGTTAAAAAATACACAGCTCTTTTCAGTGGCCCTTTAAGCTGACACATGCAGCCTCCACTTGACACCAAAACAAACCAAGCATTAATAAATGAGCAAAAGCAGTATGACACTGCTAGACTGACAGAAGCCTAAAAGCGAGTAGCGTGGCATGCTGGCTCTTGTTACGAACATTCCCGTCTCCTCGCTTGGCCAAACGCACGCACAATCCAACACGCCAAAACAAACGAGAAGAGACAAGTTTCCTGGCCATTCATGTCTGTAATAAGCAACCGGCTGCCGACGCGAGAAAACCCAAATAACCAAAAACCAGGAAGAGAATCACGAATCCTCCTCCTCATCTTCGCTCTTCCTTTCTCCAATTTCTCGGCGCGTCCGTCCACTTCCCCTCCGCCGCGTCGTTTTTCGCGGCGGCTTATAAATCCATCCTCAGCCAATCCAGAGAGCCCGGGCAATAATAACGATAATAAAGCGGGAACCTGTCCCACCGACGAACACCTCGAAGGCCCGAGGCCGACAACATATAAACAGGAACCAGCGAGGCAGACAAGGACGAGCGACCATCATCATCCGATCCAAATGCAACAACCGGGTGCCCAAAAAAGAAAAAAAAAAAAAAAAAAATTCTTTTGAGAAGCAGGCTAGGGTGGCAGGACGAGATTAACCCCCCCCCCCCCCCCCCCCCCCCCCCCCTCGACGCCAGTTCCCATCAATACAACCAAAGCTAGGGGGGAAAAAAAAAGCAAGGAAAGAAATAAGAAAATAAAGAGGGTCAAGAGAAAGCCAAAGTGTGGCAAACACTGCACTGCAGCAGCCAAAAACAAAGAAGGTAGAGAAGAGAGGAAACGCGTGACCTAAATCTCTCGACCAGTGAAAAGCGACTGGTTTCTCCTGTTTCCAATCTGAAGTAGCAAGAGGCTGCTTGCTTGCTTGCCGCCGTATGCTGCCTGGCCGCTTTCACTGATCGTTGCGCAGCAGAGCGCAGTTCGTCGGAGGACTCGTCAGTCGGTCTGGCGCTCCTCCTCGCCCTCGCTAGACACCCACCCCTCATGGCGTTGTTGGACTGCTGCCTGCTGTCCTAGAAAGTTGCGCAACACTGTTACCTTTTTCTTGTTTCGTTCGCATTCGTTCTTATGCTGTTGCTCGTTGCAATCGACGTTTTTGTTACGATTAAACTTTGCCGGCCACAATCGATGACCTGCCGCCCGGGCGATTAAGAGAAGGTGGAGAGGGTTTATTTTTCTTGCTTTGTTTTCGTGTTGCAGTCGAACATGAATTACGTTCAAGAACGTTCTGACAGATGGAAGCAAGCGGGGCGCTGCGCGAATGCTTGTAACATAATTGTTACTATAGAGATGAAGTTTTTGCGAACCTGAGGTTTAAAGATCCGAACCAAGGGTTCGAAAAGTTTCGCAAAGTTAATACATAAAAAGTTCGACATTTTTCGAACTTCAAATTTTTGGCGCTGACAAGTTTGATTGTTTTCGAACTTCCAATTTTTGGCGCTACGAAATTCGACATTTTCGAACTTACTACGCTAATAAACTCAACAATTTTCGAGCTTTCGAACCAGCTGTGTTCAAAAGTTCGACGAACTTCGACCTTCTCAACAAAAATTCGACAAAGTTCGAACCCAGTTCACCCTTATAGGTTCGAGGCAACAAATCTAAATAACACAAGGTATCAAAGTGTGAAGTGGAGTTGAAATTGCACTCAGAGTCTTTCCGTCATCATCGTCGTCATCTTGCATGTATATACTCATCATATTATTATGTTCACTAGACGCGGCACCGCGGGCCTCCATGGTACGGGCTGCTGCCTTTCCGCGGTGCCGCGGCTCTCCAGAGCCAAAAAATAAAGACTAAAGACTAAAGGCCGTTAGCTGATCGTGCTACAAACGACACGCTTGTACAGCGAAGAATGATCGCTTTGGGGTGGCCTCGTACCTCACACCTTTTTCTTTCGACTTCCGCACAGAGCCTCTCGCGCGCACAACTCCGTAGGTTGCCCCCAGGTGACCTGTAGGCCACCATATCCCCGATCTGCACGCTTGAAATTCAACCGGGGCGCTTCGCTGCGAGCGTCCTTCGTAGCATTAGTTGTTCTTGAACGCAAGTACCTCGATTTCCTCGCGACAAGGAAAGGCGTGCGCGGAAAGCGGCGACGCCGATCCGCTACAGCGAACGCTGAATCGGCGCTTACTTTATAATCATTAGTAACCGACTGATTTCTAGACCGGCCAATATCTGCATCCGTCGCAGAAAAAAAGTTTCAGGCAGCGGCAATATGGTTAGCCGGATAACAACCAGTCGTGACCTGATCAGCTGCATTAGGCCGGGTCATAGCCTCCTCTATCCTGGCAACTTTGCAAAAAGAGCTCTCTGGCCGCCGCCATTTTGCGACTCGAGCGACTCCTATGAGCCAGAAATTTCTGCCACCCACCTGAGCTGTGGAAACCCGGTCAGCGTGACTCCCAACCTGCATTGTGCATTCGGAGTTCGCCGGCTTTTCTTGGAAGTTTTTACTTTATTTGCCTGTTCAGGGTCCTTACGTTTTTTGTGTTATCTTCCACTGTGAGAGTCAGGGAATAACCAGGGCTCGTAGCCTGCTCGGCCTTCGCAGGAAACGAACGAAGAGAGCGAACGTCAAGCAGCCGGCGACGCGGGCAGTTCGACTTTCTTGGAGGATTATTTCCGTTGATATAATAGGGTCGGGTCCGGGGTGTGGGGACGGAATAGACACGTTCGTTCATTTGCTTTGAAGATGTGCAAAAAAAAAGCAGCTCTCTTCTATATGTGCCCCAAAACACGCCGGATTCCGTCCGATCGTAGTGAAGTGACTATCGTCGACACTGTATATTGGATATGTTGTGTAATTTGAGACATTTCTCAAATCCTGTTTGGATAACGCGGCACCGTGGGGTACGCACAATATATGTTGTTCGATTGATGAGACTCGTTGAATTTCATGTTGTGGGCGGGGAATATCCATGCAGTTCGGATATCCTGTGTCAAATATTTTCGACGGTTAACACCTTTGCAGATTGACACGGCTGAGTGTAGTGTGCCGTAAAAAGATCAACATAAAGTGAAACAACATTCCAGTTGCATATGTTCTGTCGCGCACGGACTCACCAAAACAGCTTTCATTCCTTTGTTCTTGTTCCCAAAATAGTGCAATGCATTCTTAAAAACCCCGAGAAATTATGTTAGCCACAGAACACACAATAAAAAATAGAACGCGGCAATTTAGCCTCCACCAGTGTCCAGAAGCACGCCTACGCAGGCTGCCACAGCCCACT